TCCAGATGCCTTGAAGTCAGGAAGGGGACTGACACTGGTCCGGGGCCTTTTAAGATCATCACAGACAACTCCAAGGTGCTAGGCATAGCCTTACCTCCCCTTGGCTAAAGAGGAGCTTGAGCCACCACACAGATTTGGGCAACCTGGCTGACCCGAGGAGACCTCTGGGCCAGTCTCACTCTTTCCTTGACTCTCAGGCATGAGCGGTCGGAACCTGGAGGATGCTCGTCTTGCTGGGGTCAGCCCAAAGCTGATTTCACCTATTTGATTTCCATGAGCTGGTACTTATCTGCCGAGCTGGTACTTATCTGCCAAGCTGTTACCTCTGTTCTGTTCAGGAAAAAAAAATTCCCCCTCTGGGGGCTGGAATGGGTAAAGGGACTGCCACAGCAAGGATACCTAGGGATTATCGATGCAGCCACAGTGAAGCGGGGGCTGTTGTGTCCCTCCCTGGCCCTGTGGCGGCCAATCTCATCTCCTGTGCTCCTTGGCTGGCTGCCGGGCTGGACTCAACAACACGCAAGATAGGAAATACCCACGGGAGAAACTGAAGGACTGAGACCCAAGTGTGGCCCAGGCAAGGCAGGCCATGGAACACTGAAGCTATCCTGCCAGGAATTTTGAAGGCTGGGTCCTGGAACCATGTAATGTTGAATTTCAGAAGCGTTTTCTAGGAGTGGGGACATGAATGGGTAAAGGACACATCCTGAAGCTAGCCTGGCACACCCAATAGAAGCATAAGTGCTTAGAGGCTCCGGTGTGGAATCTGCCCAGTTACAGTAGCTGGGTTTCCCCATAGACCCTGGCTTTCAGCGGTGGGTGGGGCTTGCACACCAGCACCAGGCCTGCTTTACCCATTCTGGAATCCCAAGATGACAAGAAGCTAGGGGCTGCACAACCAGTGGTGACATGTTGATATGGGGCAGAAAAGCAGAGCTTGCATGTACCTCACTCCACTCCACTTTAGAGTCACTGTATGGTGACGAAGACCAGAGGTGGTGGTGATGACACCCACAGTGAAGCCTGTGCCCTTTGGCCAAAGAGCAGACCCAAGGAATTTGATATGCTGGTCTTGCTCAGTCAGCAAGGACGTGTCCAGTCTATATATACAGTATACAAGAAATTGGTGACCAAGGGGCTCGTCCTGTCTCATGTGGTTCATTTTTGAAGTCCATTTAGACAAACCAAGCCCTCCAAAACACCTTCAGATCTCTGGAAGGAGGTTACCTCAAAATTTGGAACAATTTGGGTGGCAAGGGGAAAGAACTAGTATGCACAGAGCCTACTCATTTGGTCTTGCTTCTGGTCTCACCCATGAAAAAGCAAGCCCAGGACTCCAGGCAAGATCTGTTTTTGGCTATTCAGGGTTATGGCAGGCCCCCTAGAAGTGCCAACTTGCTGGATCTGGATAGTGGGCAGGCTTTCAGGGGTCACAAAGCCAGGGTGCTGCAGGTTTCCGAGAGACACAGGTCTTTCAATAGAAAAAGATGCCTGAAGCTATCCTTGAACATGTCTTCAGTCCTGGGCACTGTGACTGCAAAGTGCTTTTTTCAAGTTAGCCTTGTGATCCAAATTCTCATCCTTTCTGTGCTACCAGCTGGATATACCTCTGGGTTCCCAGGGCCTATCACAGATTTTGGTTCAAAGCAGAAATTCATAAAAATCTGCTCCTCTGAGAGCAGTGAGCTTCCCAGGCCTCCATAAAGTTTCCTCTGCTTGGGGCAGACAGGGAGCCCCTCCCTTCTTCTAGCCTATCACTGAAAGACCCAGTAGGTGGCAGCAGAAAGAGCAGAGGATTTGAGAGCTTGAACCTTGGCTCTTTAGCTTATGAGCCCTGTGTAGTGTGTCATTTGGCAAGTCTCTTAACCTCTCTTAACTCTAGAAAAACATTAGTTTTTTCATGTATAAAATGGAAGTTTTGGCAATCAACATCAAAGTACTTTACAAACCTAAAAAAGCTTTGGACAGGTGTGTGCATCCCTGTTGAATATTCAGGGAAGAGAGTATGTACTTTAGGTTCATTGCCTGAAGGGACAGCAACTGTCTATCTCACAGAAACACGTTTTTGTTTTGTTTTTTAAGCATGGCAAAAAAATGAAGTTTCAGGCTTTCATCATTTGGGGAACCCAGCTCCTAGATGAACTTCCTGGGCCCCAGGCCAGTCAGGGGGCAGTAGGGGAAGCCACAGTGTTGTCTAGTGATTGGAACCAATTTCACCCCTGGCCATGGCCACCAAAATGCTTAGCTGGGGAGAGGCAGTAGCATGGGATTGAGAGGGCTTGCATGTCATGGCTAAGTCACATGTGCATGTCCCTTGTGTTGTCTGGTTTGCCCGCCTTCCTGTGACAAGAGGACCCTTCCGGCTTTGACCTTCTGTCCAGTTTGACCATGGGGCCATCCAGAATCTTTGGTTGATATTTACAGTATCTCCTGCCAGAAGCCTGTGACCTTTGCCAGAGCTGGGCTCATCCAATCAGAGGCAGACACTGCCCTGTTCTCCAGGGCTAGATCCCTTTGTAGTGACTCCCTAAGCTTGGCCAGGCTTATGGATTTCTGTCAAAACAAGAGGGCAAGGCCAGCTCAGCTGTGGCTCCACTGCTTATACTGACAAAGGGGTTCTGGGCCGGGCCCTCCAGACCGTAGCTTTTCAATGCCTTATCTTTACCTCAGAGCTTCTCTCTCATCCTGAATTGTACACCAGGGTTATAAGATAAGGTGCTGAGCACAGACACTTCAGTACATGGGCCTGTGGGCGTCAGGCTGGAAGAGAAAGAGCACACAGCCTGGGATTCAAGTGGTTCTGCTGCTTGTTTCTGAGCCTCGGTTTCCTTATGGATCAAATAGGAGGCATAATCACCATTTCTCAGGGTTAACCACATGCTATATATTAAACTGCTCTGTGCAATGTGAGGTACAGATGTTAGTTTTTACTTATGGGTGTAGAAAGAACAAAAGTTATAAGGTCATTCCTATTCCTTTTCCCCCTCCTCTCTGTAGTTCCACCCAGCCCACGAGGCGACAGGGTCATGGAAGCCTGTCAGGACCCCAGCATTCAGCTCACTTCAGGCCCATTCCCTTTCTTCTACAACCTGTATTCTCATTTGTCAAATGGGTGGAATAACTGACCCTGTCTCTCTCTGGACCTGTAAATTAAAGGCTGTGAAGTGCTTTGAAATCTATGAAGCACCTGACAAATGTTTCCTATTATTATTATTATTTTGGCATTTTCCAAACACATATGACATAATCTAGAACAGCCTTCACCCACCTTTATGAAACCGAAGAGGGTGGGAGGAAGTATTTGCAAAAAATGGATTAACACTGGAAAACTTTCTGTTGTTTTAAAATAAAACCTCATCAAGCACCCCAGAACAGACCTCTCAGAATAGCTGGGTTTTCTTTTTCTAGTCTTGAAGTTCCCTGGAAGGTCAGGAAGGTGGCCCCCAAACTCCTGGCACTGAGCAAGGACACTGTGGGCTCTGATCTCCTGGGAACAGCTAGACGGTTTCTGAGGTCTTTCCGACCCAAGGGTTTCCTGATTTTTTTCCTCCTTGAGGGGAGAAATGGAAGATAGGGGGAATGGTATGTCCAAGTTTACAAGAATTTAAAATGAAGTTATTTTAAAAATCCCAAATGTTGTCAATGATCCCACTTTGTACAGTAAAATGTTCCTGCCCCACCCCAGAGGGGCTGCTGGCCCAGTTACGTGCTGGGTACAAGAGGATGGTGCTGGGCAATCCAGGCTCCTGGCTGAGACTAGCAGGGGCCTCTTTGTCCTAGGGGTCCCTCTTCTCCCAGATGAGCCCATATCTGCTGGGCCTTATCCTCGTCCTCCTCTCCTGATGGCTCCCACTCTCTTCCTCTCTTCTCAGGATGAGGGGCTACTGTCCTAAAAGCATGGCCTCTCCTTTTCAGCCAGCCCACCTGCTCCTTTTCCTAGGGGTGGAGTCAGGCACAGGACGAAARTTCCAGATGTCTTCACAGAATTTCCAAATGCTATTTCTTCATTTGCAATTTCTGTTCCTGCCATCTGCCCCATGTAGCCTCAGATCAGTCTTCAACCCACACCTCTGGAGTCCGTGAGGGTAAGGAGCAGAAACAAGAGCCCAGAGAGCATTCCGGAGCTCACCAGGTGTGAGCGCTGCTGACTTAATTTTTACAAAACCAAGCCAATCCATCCCTAGGTAAATTTTGTAGGCAACATACTACTAGGTAGGAAGGCTGCATTTAATGCTAATTTACTGCGAGGTCTAGGGAAGTCCTTTCTTCTTCTCTGGGCCTCAGTTTCCTCATCTGTCAAACAGGGAAATGGATGAGATGATTGCTAAGGTCCCTTAAGTTCCATGAGTCTATGAAATGTTTATTGCTATTGCTTTTCCTTCACTAACCTGACCTTCAGAGAGACCAGCACCCACCTGGAATGTGGTTCCTTCACTTTGGCCATGAATGGCGCAAGGTAACCAGGAGCCTGGCCMGTCTGCCAGCCCCATAGACAGACAGGTGAGCCCTGGTACTGGGAAGGGCAGAAGGGAAAGGGAGAGAAATGCCACAGGTACCCACTCTAATCAGGAGGAAGCTCCTCATCAGAGTGGGTCTATGAGGGCTCGGAGGCCGAGGTCTGGATTATGCAGGGAACCTGGCCTTTCAAGTCCTCAGGATGCTGGGATCCCACCACCCTGCAGCTGCTTGGCGGATCTGAGGTCCAAATCCCCTTTTGAGGAAGTGCCAGGTCA